TTCTCGTTTTTCATGATGATGATATTCCGCTTAATCGAGAGCTTTTGCATAATGTGTAATTAGTTGGTGTTCTCCGTGTTGTCTATGTATAGACTGCCGCCACATTTTTTGTCTTGACCAGCATTTGTTGATGTACATGGGATAGAATGGTTAGGTCGTCCGTGAAGTCCAAATCGTCTAGTTGGATGCAAACTGTCCATTGTATTCTGTCTTTCTTCACATATATGGAGTTCTCCATAATCTCGTCAACTACCAGAAGAAAGAGAAAGGGGGGAGTAGACATGGAATGCGTCTAACAGCTGTCCCCCAAGCACAACTTCTCAGTGTAGTCCGTTGTATGAAATACGGATGATGTTGATGATCTTCTAGGATACTCCATAGTGTCGAAGAAGGTTCCATAAGACCTTCCTTCCCACACTATTAAACGCCATCTCATGGTCAAGGAAGTTGATGTATAGTGACGAGTTCCATTCAATTAATTATTCAACGATTATCCATAGTGACGCGATTTAGTCTGTGCACGACCAATCCTTATGGAATCCGGCCTTTTGATCTCGAAGTGGGTCGTTTACAGAATCTTTCATTCAGTTTAGCAACTCTGTCGAAAACCTTTGCTGGTACTGACAGTAGTGTGATGCCTCTGGAGCATTCACATTTGTTCAGATCTTCTTTCTTTGGTATCTTGTTGAGGTTTCTTTCTTTCCAGTCTGTCAACACTTGTTCCTCCTCCCAAATCTCCCTGAATAGAACGTGGAGTATGTCTGTAGTTGCTTCTATGTGTGACTTTAGTGCTTCAGCTAGTATACTGTCAGGTATTGCTGGCTTCACGCTGTTGATTTGTCTGATGGCCATCCCGATTTCCTCGATCGTTGATGGAGTGACATCGATAGGAAGGTCTGTGTGTACTGCTTCGATGTCCGGTGAGTTCATGGAACTGGTCTATTCAAGAGTTCCCCAAAGTGTTCTACCCATCTTTCCTCTGTACTTGAATCTCGGTGATGGTCTTGCCTTTTTGTCCTCGACTGGTCTCTCCGGTTTACTGTTTCCCTGTCAGTTTCTTCGTTGTGTCATATAGTTGTTTCATATTCCCTTTCGTTGCAGCTTTTTCCGCTGTCGTTGTTAGGTCTTCCACGTATTTCTGCCTGTCAGCTCCAACGCTCGTCTTCACTTGCTTGTTTTCTTCAGTGTATTCAGCTTGTGCCTTGACGTTTTCTATTGTTGTTCAGCTGTTGTTAAATGCTGTCATTTTTAGCGATACAAACATGACTGATCCGATTTTCTACAGTGTGATCCGGTATGACCTATATAGCATTGTGTGGGAATATTAATACCCCTTTAACCATTTTGTTGAATGCACATAAATTTACAAATCTCTCGTCATTCTCGTTCCCATGCAATGAGTCCTTTACGTGCTTCTTTGGACAGCATCAGAGCAACTCAATGAGTGTGCGGAGCATTTTCTTCTTAGTTCTTCTTGGGTGCAATGGGTTTCACTTATTCCGAGCACTGTCAGTTTGTATCTTCTCATTTCCGTAGCTCTTTGGTTGGCTCTCCCACACTGTCAGAACATTCCGTGTATTTATGTTAATTGTTGCTGTGGTTGTTAAAAGGAGCATCGGCCTCGTGACTACCGAAGAATCTCGGCTTCCACGATGAGGCGTCATAATACTTCCTTCAATTCCCAGTACAGAGTTTCAATGGTTTGATTTGTTTATCGCGTTTGTCGTATGATCATATGATAATAAAATATAGTGCAAATGTTGATGGAGTATTTGCACTATTCAGTACGATCATGATAGCAATAGAAAAAAATTCTGATCATATGTGACTTACTTTCACCTAATGGATTGAACTGTCTAATAATGTGTCATGCATCATAATTGCTAGGCTTCTATAACATATGATCGTTGTTTCATGTACAGCAGTTCGTATGGGACCTTCTCAATTGTTCTTCGCAGATCAAGGTAAAATGAAAAGGTAATTGACCTGCTATCCTTAAGTTCGGTTATGTAGTCGAGGGATCTAGATGACAATCACATATAAGAGACATTTTATAAACCCATGCTTGGTAGTATAAACGGGATATACATTACGACCAACATCAAACTGCATCTAAGGGCAAGTTCTAACTTGGAATCCTGTAGGAAAGCGACAAAGAGGAAGCAAAAGTCACACTGCGTCCAGAATTGAAAGCAGACACCAAACAGAAGAATATCAACTGGAAAGTACTGCCCAGCATGTGGTTCGATGGAGATTGCTGGTGAGTGAGCTATAGTCCTCCGCGAGTATCAGCAGGCGTTAGTAAGCACATAAGTAGCTCCTTATGTACGAATTTATTAACACGACGTACGCGTTTTTCAAAGTAAAGACCACAATCCAACAGTTATATTAAAAGAAATTAGAATCAACCGAGTATTTGGACTGCGTAGTTACTTAGCAGCACCACAGTTCTAACAATTGAATGCCGAATTTGGATCAGAAGTGGGTTAAGCAGATCATGATAACTGTTGACTCATCGTAAAAAACTAACAGATAGACCTATTAACTTATTTGTTGTTACACCTGCCCGTATGTACTGTTATTTATTTTCATTGAATGGCCCTATTGGGTATCATCTTCTTTGTTAATACATGTTGTGAATGAATAATAATGATGGTAAAAATTTGTAGACCTGTTATGTCAGAAATATATTATTGTCACATGTAGCACACATAATTTAAAATTAATAATTACTTCATAAGGATTTGATGGCCGAACAATAAGATATGACTTAATGATTTACAGTGGTGCGAAGAAGTCCTGACTGATAGCAGAGAGAAACCATCGAATGAAAACTTGTATGACTTGTAAATAAGTTGTGAAGAAGTTAAGCGCAATGTAGGATTTCGTGTTCTTTATTTAGAAATTCTGAAGCAGCAAGTGTAAAGTGACTTAAATTTTAGCAGATCAGTGGTTATGATAAGGATGAATACAAACCTCAGCAGACTTCGGATATTCGCGTCAAAAATTCAGCGCTTCGTCTGCGTTAAATAAATACTCAACGTCGTTTATATAAATCATTGGTAATCGCACTGCCGTTTAATAGATGACACAGACAACTTTTGGAGAGCAAGTCATCAATGGGAATTTTAAAACGAGTTATAGTTTCACGGCAAGGAAGGCTTAGTGGCAGTCTGTTCCTCACAGTTGATGGTTTCGTGATTCGTTTCAGACCTTTTGTATATAGGATGAACTGTTGTTAGTTTTTGAGTTCCGATAGGTTCAGTTGGTTGTCTATGTACTTCAAAGTAAGAATAAAGTGGACTTACATCTAATTAGAAATTTACACTATAATGAATAATAAGCAAAAAGCAAACAAAACTTGGGTTCTGATGTCACTTAAATGTGTAGAAAACCCATGCTATTTGAGTAAGGCGCATATACTTTCATACGTGTTAGAAGATCAGTGCAAGAAAAGACCTCATCACGATATCTTTCAAAGGACGTGTGATCTATCCGCCATGTGTATTTCCGAAAGAAGACTGTCCCATATAAGTGAACACGTGATAACGTTGAGTTTTCCCGAGTTTCTTAATTCGACTTTGATCAAACATATGTTACTAGTGACAGCTGATGTTGATGCTATGCCACTGTACGATTTAACTTTATGAAGCGAAGTGTACCGGTTATACAATTGAATGTGATAATTTACAACGATGTTTCCTGAAAATAAACTAGTCAGCGAAGTTCCGTTGCAAAAGCAAGCTCAGAAAAGTAAAATAATTCCCACCTTATCTCTGTTAGTAGTTTCCGGTCGTTAAAATTGATGTCGTTTATAATGAAGTTGCATTGATAAAAAATATATATCAAATGAAGGTCTTGCCAGGTAGATAACGTAGATGTGGGTTCAAATCAGAATCAATTTCATTAGAGTTTTTATGCGCTCTTCAAACTTTTGAGCTGCTGTTTTTATCCAGATTGTATCTGAGGATATCTTGTCAAAGGGATAATAAGGGGCTACTTCCCCGAAGAATCTGATGTAAAACACAAGAATAGTCGAACCCGCGACGAAAAAACGATTCTCACATAGTTGTGAACAAAAAAAGTGTAGATGGAGGGTCGAACATTAGTCGTCAATAATCACCAAGTATGCGCAATAATGTTCGTTCCACAAGATTTGAATGTGTTAACATCTTTTATGTGGTTTAGAAATTTTCCGACTTGTTCTTTTGTAGACTGCATTAGATTGAGATTATCATCTTGTCTTTTATGTCAGGCACATCATACCCCTGGAAAAAAGTGTTGACGGACACTTACTAGTTAATAGATACATAACTCGGAATTCGTTTACCACAAATGATTTATGAGCTCCCAGCAATTGACATTGACGCGTCTCTATCTTTGGATTATAGTTATTCCATTGATCGTTACTCTTCTACGTCATAACTGAACACCTTATATTTGAAATACATTATATACGCATAGTCTCTGATCCCAATATTAACTCGGTTAATACTTTTCTTACTTACTCGGGCCTGTCACTCCCGACTGGACGTAGGCAGCCGACCATCATTCTCCAACCCACTCTGTCCTAGGTCTTCCTTCCCAGTTCTATCCAATTTCCGTTCACTTTTCTCATGCCTGTCTCCCTTCCTCGACGTAATGTGCTCTTTGGTCTTCCTCCTTTCCTTTGGCCCTCAGGATTCCATGTGAGTGCTTGTCTTGTGACGCACTTGGGTGTTTACCTCAATGCTTGTCCTATCCACATACAGTGCTTATCCTGATTTCTTCCTCCGCTAGAATCTGGTTTCGTTGCTCCCACAGTAGGTTGTTTCTGGTCAATACTTAATAATAACTATATACTCAGGTACTTTACCTAACTAACCGAGCTCTCTAGTCACCAGTATTAAATTATGACAAGTTATACTAGTAAAGTATTTGCATCAGCCTTATCCACAAGACAAAATGTTTGTTGCTTTTAATATCGAGCGTTTAAATATACTAATTTTTAAGGTGACCAACTGAAACCATAACAGCGTGTGGCCTTTCGAATTTTTTTCAAGTTATAAAACACTCACGTTCGTAACAAGGACTTATTACAATTTGTGTTTGAAAGATGGTTTACAACTACACTAGACCTCGTGGTCCGATCGCCGCAATGTATAGCAGCCCAGGACCATGTTATGCGCTTCCTAGTTTGGTTGGCTTTCCAAATCACGACCCTCGTTCAAATCATCTGCGTGGAGCACAGTGGTCTTTCGGAATTCGACACGAAAAGTTCAACAGCGAATGTAGCCCAGGGCCGTGTTATTATCCTGACTCGAAAATACTACGCGATGGCAAAGATGGGACACCACACTACTCACTATATAGCCGTCAGAAGGAGGCAATGATATTTTCAAATCCTGGTCCAGGAGCCTACACTCCTGAAAACAGTGATCACTTTGTTTTTAGCAAAGCTCCAGCGTACTCATTAAGCTCTAGAAACAAAGAGTTCAAGGTGGACGATGTTCCAGGTTTTTTACCGTTTTCATAAATCTAAATCGATATTGTAGGTCCGAATAGATACAATATAGATCCTATGCTCGGAAAGACAGTTAGAAGTCAAAAGCAATCAGCCCCAGCATATTCTCTGTCCAGCAGAACAAAGCTTTTCGGTGCTGCTGAGGTAGGTTTATCCGAAAGGAAATTACTGCTGTAGACACCTGGAGCTGGAGCATATAATATCACTGATCTTAATTTGTACCGAGAAGCTGCCCCTAAATATTCTGTAACAGGAAGAAATCAGCTGCCAACCGACACTACGAGGAAGCCAGGTCCAGGCGCTTACTATCCCGAAAGAGTGAGATTTTTCGTATAACCTTTGCAAACATTGAAGTCGAGTTTTAAAATTAAAGATAGGGAAAAAATAAAAATAGAATTGTGTTTGTGCAATGAATGGTGATTCATTGACATATGTTTTTGTCTCACACTGTAGTTGTCAAGGCTTCTTAGTGGCTGATGGATAAGTTGTTTATCTGATTTCAGATTTTTGTCGACATATCCATGTTAATTTTTCTATTAATGAAATACTTTTGCGTTCCCGAATAAAACTTATGAAACGTTAATTTTCAGAAGAATATTTTAGTGTCATGAATTCCATTCTTAAAATGATAGCTTGGTGAATGTTTACCTTGAATATTTTCTCCATCTTATCATGTCAATAATTTCATCCAATCCACTTCTTGAGGCCATTGATTCCAATAACATTGATGTATTTAATCAGATTCAAAGTATTAGTTTCAACATGAGATCACAGTTTTTAATAGATAACGTAACCATTAGACGTACTAACGTCAGGCTTGGTAGCATTTTATACTAGACCTGTTAGTTACCGAAATAAAAGTACTTAAATTCAACAATTCTTCTGAAATATATATATTTATATAATTTTTCTTATCCCTGCGTATTTCCAAGAATATCTTCTCTAACATGATAATAAATTCGTGTGCTACTTCATTTATCATTGAACTTTTGTTCTTTTAGTGGTTCTAGGATATGGCAATGATTAGCCTTCTATTTAAAACGAAATAAAACATTGATACTTACAGCCATCTAGTTTGACTGGTATACGATCTAATACTCGTTTGCCATGACCAAACAAGACGATAAGTACATGTTTTGGTAAGGTTTACCCGTCCAGAATGGGCCGGATTAGGAGACCATTTGCAACTTGTAATGTAATTTTATGTATAACAGTAAATCTGATTAAATGTGGATTCAGAAACGTAACGTCTGAAGTAACGTATACAAAAATAGGAGACAATAATTCATCCCTCCAGTATATCTGATTACTAGAGATAAAGGTTAAAGGTCCTATTTGGATGTTTTGTACATTCAAACTTAGTGTGATTGGCAGGCATATGACAGATTAGTACCTTATGAGTCATTATAACGATTGTCATTTTTATTTAGTTAGGATAACTTGGTTTGCTTTTCCGTGTTTTCAGTGGACTGAGTATTTTATTCCATTTGTACAATGTTTTTCACAGGAATGTTTGTGATTGTTATTTGTGTACTTCTACAACGCTGTTACATACTTACTTTATTGTGATAGTAAGCCAGAATTTACTCCAATGTTTACAATACACTATAGTGTACTCAAGCAATACCATTTCCTCAAAGTCTCAATATCTGTTCATTCTGTTAGTTGACGCTTGGTATATTAGCATTCCATAATGTTATGTTTTACTACCAAAGTGCATTATTTCCAAACAGTTGTGAGAGTTTCTGCCGCAATACCATACTTCAATGTTGACAGTGGCTAGTAGAAAAACACAGCATCGTCCCATTTAAATTGGGGTAAGTAAAACGTCATATCTACCCACGTGTTACTGGAGAAAATTCCGTCAAGTATAGCCCATAATTTTTTCAGTGAGTCAAAATATGTTTTGATAAGCTAATCTCATGGATACAAATCTTAAAGCCGAAGTTCAAAACGTTTCGTGCAAGAGTCGTAATGCAGGTGAATGAAGGTTTGTTCAGCAATTGGTATAGAATATAAATCTAAGCTTCATATGAAGCATTATAAACATGACCTCAAAGTAGTTATGCAATCTCCTACGGTAAAAGTTACCGTTAAGTTAAAATTTTCTGGAAACACTTTGGCTTGATATAACCCAATTTTGGCTGAAAAATCATTTTCTAAACGCTTAGGTAAAAGATCTTTGGATTAATTAATCGCTCCATTTGGTCATACAATACCCCTGTAATAAGTCTTCTTGAAATGATTCACGCAATTTCGGCCATTGTTTCTTCAAAAAGTGATGCTCAGACAAATTTATACAACAACAGATTTAAAAAAAGCTAACCAGTTTTACAACATAAAAAAGGTCGTGCCTATTAAGCTGATTTAGATTTGGTTCTTCAGACCGTCATAGCATATAGTAACTGATAACTACATTTACTGCTAGATTAGCTTACTGAAGTTACATGGCCATTTTTAAATGCTGGAACATTTAATTAAATTTACGTGTTATGTCAAAATAAATATCAACGGCTTGAAATCAAACCTTTCTAATAACGACACGTTTGTTTATCTAAATCTCACTTGCGGTAACCACGCAACACTATTTATCATAATAAAAGTAAGGCTGTTGTGTATTTTCTGTAAGCTTTCACACCATTCAACAAAATTTTGGTAGTTACTTACTTTGTTCATAATCTAACTGAACTATTTTCATCTTAAATGGTATACAATTGTCAGCAGTAGTTTGACTAAATAAACTTATTTTTGGCTATGATGTCTAAAAGTATATTAAGGTTTACTTATTGGTTTATATTTCTGTGCATCAAACATTTCTTAACATTCAGCGATGTCTAAGTAAACCCGACAAACCTCATAAAAGTGTAGTAAAATTACAGTGGTCATTAGTAAATGTTCGACAAAGCTTGTTTGTAAAGCAATAAGACACTGTTTAGTCCGTATGCAGTTTAAAACTGCCTAAAAATATGAAAACAGAGGTTTTTAATGCCACATATATCATATCTAGATTTTTAAATTTTTAATATTGGGGTGCTTTCAAGGCTTATAAATCTTACATCTTGGAAAACGATAATTCTAAAGTAAAATATTCACCAAATGTTATCTCATTTGAAACTTTTAGTTAGTGAGAATATTTTGGTATTTTTCAGTGTGAAGTCTACTGAACTTACTTAAAATCTGATCCTGTTGAATATAAAAGATATCACATTATATTCATTCTTTATTTAGCACATATAGTTGTCTTAGTTATGCATCTGATGAAGGTCGTTTTATCTCTTAGAATGTGGCGCTTTATATACTTTTTTTCAAGCTCAATAATATACTTTCTAAAACTTTTACTCTAAAATTTATTCACTTTTAAAACTTTATAGTCATTTCTTCTTGGTTTTAGGTTCACATGAATTCACAATCTGCTCCACAGTATTCATTTGGAATTCGCCATTCTCAATATAAGGGCGAATTCATAACAGACGCTGATCTGGATCAATAACTATGTATCAAAGACATAAAAGTAAAGAGGAAATATTAGATTATATTACTTCGCGAAAACGAAGAACTGAAACTTAATAATTATATACGTGATAATTTATAACTTATACGATACATGGCTTACAATTTAACTGCCTGTGATATAGAACAAACACATCAATTCTCCTATTTTTATTTAACAAAACGTACTATTACAATTGGTTATTTTAACTTCGATTATCTGCTTTTAATATTTTTCTACTTGTTACTTGCAATTCACTTAATAGAAATAATTTAATATAAAAGTTGCTAATGTCTTTGATGTATTGAAGCTGGTGAAAATAGACAGAAATATAGACACAAAATTGCTCAAGACCATATTTTTGAACTGTAACACAAACGCATCATAAACGCCTGAATTAGGCAACGCTTATGCAGTGTATAAAAACGTAAGCTGATAAGCAAACTAAATTCATGCAGTTCTGGTGAAAATATAGTACATTTTCTATAAATGCCCCAAGAACAAAATAAGCAATATATAAATGATCAAAGAGTTCTTTGAGTTTCAATTCTTACAAGCAGCATTGATGCTTAAGTAATAATTAAATAATTCGGAGAAATAAAACATGCAGTTAAGGAAAATCCAAAAGTGTTTTGCTTTAAACTTATTCAACTTAATATTGTCAGTTTCTATTTAGTTGTAACTACGTAGTTAACATATTTTGATCATTCTATTTTTCACGTTCTATCTATTATTTAAATTTCCCCGCTGAATGAGCTCTGGATACGTGTAAGTACTATGTCTATTAAATAAATACATTACTCAGTGCAAGAAAATCAGCGAGGCGTTCCCCTCAATTTTATGTGATAGGGAAAGACACCGGTTGTTGCTTAGTCGTTATGTAAGTTACGCTATGCTCAAAAATCAAAATGTCAAAAGTTGTTGCCCTTTAACTAATCAAGATCGAGGTCTGCAGGACAAGCTGTGAGTTATATGTGGAGAAATTCAAATGCTTTACTTCCACCTGAAGTTTGTGCTAATGGTGTCGTTCAGGAGAACAGTGAAAGCTCCACGACCAAACCATGGAACTAAGAGATCAAAGTTCCACCTAAAGTATCCAGAATTGCAGTAATATAATCTCGGCCACCAGTCATATTATTGTTTAATAACAGTATAACATGGCAAACAAAAAATGTTTTTATTCTGCCGATTTATCCATCTCTGTTGCATCTCTTGAACGCAAGAGGAATATATTTGTTAATGCAATATAATTTACACTATAAAATGAATCAAATAATCTTCATCACGTTGGTGGAAGAAATTTAAGTGTGTTAACTTCCGGCTAGTATTACGTATAATGCATTCAACATTATATGCTCAAAATCCAGTTTTAATTACTGAAAGTATGAAGCCAATCCCTTTATTAGAAATCTTGCATAAGCTTATAAGTTCTAAAACGTTTCTGAAATACAATGTTAAATGTAATCTGACACCAAATTTATTTGAATTGCAGACCGAACGCAAATATGGATCGGTAATTAAACAAATTTTGAATTTTAAATCGTTGAGTTTGCTGATAATTTGCTTATTGTTGTTTCGCTCTTTAAACTAATCTAAAAGCTTCCGTAAACAAAACAACTTCACCTGATGACTAAATATAAAAAGAAATTGTTATTATAAAGTATATAAAAGTTAACTATTCGATAAGTTGATGTAGTTTGAATAATAATGTTTATGGATTTTTCGGGCTGGTGATTCTTGTATGTCACTAGCTATCAATTGTGTATCTAAGGTACTATTGTATTTGCGAATAAAGCACGTTGTATTGCCCATTTTTAGCAGTTAATGATATCATAATATTCTAACTAATGAATTTAATATAAATTCATTTATATTCTTCGTTTTTATTTCTCGCTTCAGTCAATCCACCTGTAAGTAGTTTTAGACCGGAATACTAAGGGATATGATCTACCATGGATAACTCCAATCTATCGATTTAATGATACATAGTAAAAATATTTTATTCTTCCTTATTTTTATAAGAAGACACACCAAAGGATTTATCTGAATGCGGAAATGACATTGAATTTTATTTTACACTCATTTTTCTTTACTTAACTGAATAAATACACTGAGGGGACTGATCAACAAAATCGCTCTTTTGAATTTAATGAATAGGTATTATAAACTTGTTTTCTTTAGAAACAAATGTTCAAAATATTTAAATCAAAATCTGATTTTTAACAGTAGTTCTTGTTGGCTACTAGCTCAACAATCTAATTAGTGTGTTCGCTCTGTAGAACATCAGTCTGATTTCGTAATCTATGCACTAAAGTATACAACGGACAAATTGACCGCTCTTGAAGATATTCTCAATCAACGATCATGATGGATATCACGACGTATTTATAAAAGTCTGTATGGAAACTAACGTTTCCAAGTACAACTTTAAAAGATAAAATATTGATTTATCAGAAAATTCCCGAATACAACTGTATATTGCACAGAGATTCAAACTTGAAATGAAAAGGACTAGCTTTTTAATTTCACTTAAACTGTTCAAGTAAGCGGAAAGACTTCACAACTGGTCTTCTTGAAATAATGGATTGCATACGTTCATCATTTGGTCTGCTTGTTCTTTTGTTTAGAAACTACTCAAGAATGCTATATTATTGGACATAAATTATCAGATATGGCTACTTGCATAGTTGCACACACATACACACACACATAAAATTACGTTAGCTTGCGATCATATTTCAACTTGACTTATATGGGTATATATGGATGTTTTGAGATAACTGGATAAAATCAAAAATTTTCTCGACCTGTTGTCATGGTGATTAAGGAAACAAGTATATTATTTTGACATTTTAGTGTTTATGATTTTTTTAAATGTTTTGATTAAGGGAATGACTTTCATGGTATCACAGATGGTTAATAGTACTGTGAAAATCTGAATATGGTTTTGTTTAACGAGTTAAGTGCTTCGACTAACCTCAACTTTTCAAGTACCCACTGAAAACAGATTATTAACGCATTTATATTTATACATTAATGAATAAACCGATAAAGCGACTGACATAAGATCACAGATAAAAATGTTTTTTCCAGTGCAGAAAGCACTTTCAAAATGACTGAACTCATAATGAACGAGCGATTTTTCAAATAAGCATTTAACGATCGAGAGTGTACAGATTATCCATCTACATTATTTGTTATCTAGTTAATAGAGCCAAATGAGATCTCCTATTAGTAAAGTTCGTACAACAAAGACGCTATAAAATTGTTATATCCCGATGAGAATAATGAATGGTAATTTTTGGGATCCATTTATGGACCAATACTAAGCGTATATTTTTATCGTATAATTATTTTGTAACTAGAGTGTTCATATTCATGCCCCTCTTATTATGAGTTTTATTTTGACCTATGAACTATTATTATACGATTTACCATTCTTGAGTTATGGCCTGTCTATCAATTACTATCTCCCTTATTAATAGCCACATTCGGCTAAATCTTGTGCAGACGATATTTCCTATTTTATGGTACGATGTGGTCTGTTTGGTTGGTATATAAACCCAGTATGTTTGAAATAAATGATTCATATCACAGAGAGCTGAGATTGGGGTTCTGGAATTAAAAGGCTGAGCTAGGCACGAAGCAGGACCGATAAGGGCTCTAGACTTCTCTTACGGGTCTTATGCGTCATTGGTTTGGTCGATAATTCACTGTTCTCCAATTGGCGGTATCATCACGTAATACATTAACAGGGCACACAGGCCACAAGTTATAACAAAAATAAGAAAATTCCTATCCAACTTCAATGTATAATAGAACCAAAAAGCATGATGAGAATAATTCATCTGAAATAAAAAAGGCGTTAATGAGGAAATCAAATGTAATGGAGTGTTATATATGTACTTACTTAGTTACTTACGCTTGTTACTCCCAATGGAGCATAGGCTACCGACTCGCATTCTCCAACCCACTCTGTCGTGCGCCTTCCTTTCCAGTTCTATTTAATTTTTGTTCATTTTTCTTATGCTTGTCTCCTTTTCTCGACATACTGTGTATTTTGGTCTTCCACTTCACCTTTGAACTTGAGGATTCCATGTGAGGGCTTGCCTTGTGACGTAGTTGGGTGCTTTCCTTAATGCTTGTTCTATCCACTCACAACGCTTCTCCC